TAGTTAAACCCTAGTCAGTTTCAGACACTTCACATTTTGTGAAAAATATCCTAAACAACAGCCGCGCTTCTGACTGTCAATATCACTACATGACACTCGTTTTCCCTACTGGGTATTTATGCACGTCGCTCTGAGCCCTCAAAGTCGATTGCCACTGACTGTGTTCAAATAGCAACAATTGTGTATTTAAAAGCGTTTTCCGTCACTTGCCAATACCACAGCAATATAGTCAGTCAACCAATCAATTGTTCTGATACCAATCGACAGCAACAATGCTCAATCGCAGGTATAAAAAAAAAAATGTGCCTGCCACATTGTGCATGCATGCATGCAATGGGAATTCTGTGGGTGCTAATGACTTGAAAAACGAAGGGAAATATAAAAGCGGAAGTGTGCTAACATTATAGCAGTGATTTTTTGCAGCAATTTTACTTTAAAGCGAAAAGGATGTGTCTTTAAGAGGAAAATTAAATTATTTGCTTAAAATAACTTAAAGGTTTGTCAAGAAAAAACGAAAATGCGAAAATTAGTTAGGAGTTTATATCTGCTCTTGGCTATTTGGCTCACAGATCAGTTCAATGGCCGGTAGTTGAGATTTTAAGCAGTAGGTAGTACTACCTATCGAAGTTATGGACGTGTAAGGTTTTGAAACTTCTTGAGTCAATATTTAGAACGCTTTAAAAACGAATTTAAATGAGTTATCCCAGCACCTAATAGCGATTCTGCTTTTACGAATTAAAATTTAGACTTTTCTGGCATGTCTCGGAAGTTGGCATACGGTATGACGCAAAACGACAAAAAAAAAGCAGTTGTTCTGAGTAGCTTTCAAATAGTTCTAGAGTTCTTGAGAAGGAAATAAAAAGTTCTGGATATTTTGAAAAAAAAAAAAAATTTTTTCAAAAATTGTGTATGCCAGATTCACGCACCATACGACATGTGGCAAAAAGGCAAATAAAAAATTGTTCTGAGTAGAGTTCTTGAAAAGGAAAGGAGTCTCAATCTGGAACACATGGACACAGGTGACACCTGCACAGAAAGCGTTATCGAAAACGTTTAAAACATATCTGATTAAAAAATGAGATGTCAAATTAAAGGACCCGTGCTGTAGATGTGCAATAAGGTTTTACTTTTTCGAAAAGAGTTGCCACCTTTTAAAAAATTTAATTTGAATTATTTAATAATCAGCGCCATCAGATCCACACTGTTCGTTCGATTTTAAAAAGTTGGTTGCCATATTAAAGGGCTTGGCATGCAGATGTAAAATAAAGTTGTTTTCTTTTCGAAAAGAGTTGCCACCTTTCAAAAAATTTAAGTAAAGTTATTTAAGAAGTTAAATCTATTATTACAATATGGGTAGCAATCGAAATGGTCTTGAAAATGCCCTATTTCTTAACTACATGTAGAAGGGTTTAAAAAACTGAGTTCAACTTAATTTAAGGCAATTGGGTAATTGAAATATGATCACAATTTGGGTGTCGGACGAAGGAAATTTAAGCAGGTTTTAGTTTGAAAAATAATATAATATGGGTTACATACAAAGGAGTCTTAAAAAATCTTTAGCTTGAACATTTAGAATATTTTTGCGGTTTATGAAGTGGGCTGCCACCTGGTGAAAATGTTGAATTCAAATCAGCTAAAATGTTAAATGAATTATTAAAATATGCGAATTAACCGAAATGTGTTAACAAGGCTTTATTTTTGTACTAATTTGAAGGAGGTTGCCACATGTTTAACAAACCAATTCAACTAAATTTATCAGTTAATTGAAATATGTATCACAATGTCCGACGACGGAGATTTAAGAAATTTTACTTTGAAAATACTTTTTAAGAGTATTGCCACGTGTAGGAAGAGTCGAATTTAGTTCACTTACGTTTATACAAGTTGCATGAAATGCGTGTCAAGTTAAGTTTGAACATTTAAAATAGTTTTGAGGTGCTTGAAGGGGCTTGTCACATATTAAAAAAATTAGGTTCAAATAATTTAATAATTTAAATGAATTATTAAAAGATGGGTATCAATCAAAATGAGTTTGAAAAAGCTTTATTTCTGAACTATATAGGAGGGTTGCCACATGCTTAGAAAATCAGATTCAGTTTAAGTTAAGGTAATTTAAATAATCATATGAATATGGGTGTCAGACGAAAGAGGTTTAAGAAGGTATTAGTTTGAAAAGATTTAGAAGAGAGTTGACAGCAACTGCAAAAGCAGTTTTTGTGAAGGTCATCAAATCTGAACCGTAGATGCGCAATAATAACGAAGCTACAACATCATGCGAAAACTCTCTTCACTTAAAAACGGCCATAGAGATTTTGATGTCTTTAAAGCTTTACCCAGAAGAATAACACGGAAGAAGAATCTTGGTAATTTAAACCAGTATCGGGGCCTATGTAACTAACTGAATAAATATGCTAGAACTGTAGCGTACATGTGAGCTTAGTGAAAAACTCAACGATATACCGGGGGTCATTGCTCCTGTACGGTAGGAGATTTACTGGGTTAAATTTTTTTGCTATACTCCGTCATAGGCTTTCGATGCCTTCTCCTCGTTAAAAAGAACCCAAAACCAACACGCATTCCCGGAATTTTCGAAGAACAACTGCTGCACTGTAAATATCCCATTGACGATTGCTTCTCAGGTTAAATAATAACGGGCTAAAGAGATGTTGGGGCACTATTGAGCCATAGAGCAGCCTCCCTTATAACTGATAATTAAACGGTAGAGTGGTCAGTGTGCTGCATCCTGAGGTTTAGTGAGAGGCATTTAGGATAAATTCCGCTACCAACCTAGTGGTCGAGCTTTGACCCATCCGTAAAAATAGCGATAGACCAAGGATATAAGTCCGGGCGGTTTATTTAGTAGGTTGTGTCTGGTATTCTAATACTATCGAAGCAGAGCATTGGGTAGATATAATCCAGTTCACGTAAAGTTACTGGAAATAGTGTCCAGAATTTTCAAGTGATCAAACCTAAGCTCTCTACGTATGAGCTGGAGTTCATCTTGCTGCATTGCAGCAAGCTAAAATCTACCGTAAAGGTCGGTAGGAAGAAGATTTAGTAGAACTACTAGAATCTTACTGGGAGTAGAGGGTATGGCTCCTGTAATTAACATGATGACAGCCCTCTGTTCCCTATGCAATTTGCTCCTATAAATGGACATTTCTAGAGCCAGGTCTGATCCCAGAGAAGAGAGACGGTCGGATAACCGCCGTATAGTACATCCAGTGTACGATGTGCGGTTTCAGACTCAACCGCTGCTTTACAGGCGTAGAGAGCGATTTGAGTCCAACATTCTGTTAAGAATTACGTCGGTATAATTTAACCTCGCTCGAAAATCTCGAAATCTTATATTTCCTTGTAAACAGTACAAAGGACTGGTATCCGGGTGCCTTCGTTGGCATACAGCTGGAAAGCCACTGACTGCAAACCATACTATTGGCACGAAAAGACGCATGACACCTTGGATTAGGATGAAGAGTATATTGGACAATCCACCTTCCCTGTCCCGGTCTATATCGGTAGCGGTGGAAAGAGTGTCACCTCTTGAACGATGCGACTCCTTACCTCGCACTACGAACTTGATGCAATAGTGGCTAGAAGCTTGTGGGACTTGATAGTTCACGTAGCTGTTGTATGCTTCATTCACACCCTACTTTCGTTGAGGTTGTTATCGATATACAACAAATGCTTGAGACCACAGGGTTCTCTCTTTCTTAACCACTTTTTTACTTATTTAATACTAGGATGTGCGACGGAGCTTTTCGACATTTTGACTTCGAACAGCCACCAAAATAGAAAGAAAAGTCGAAATTTAGCCGGTGCCACACGTGATTATAAATTTTTTAAGGCAACTCAGCCCCTCATCCTCTTTGTAAAAAAAACACCTATATAATGGCACATACCCTATAACAAACAGCTATAATATCACACAATACCAGACTACGCGAAGCTTACTTACTGCCTCCCAGGTAGTCGCTTATTCTGAGGCTAAGCGAAAATGACTTATCAGTGTAATTTTCAGCGTGTTTAAATCCAAGCAAATTAGGCTGCTCAGTAACCTACGCTAAGAAATAATTTTCTAAGTGCTTGCAAAGGCGCAGCACTTTAATTGCGCTCCATTTCAAGAGTTAAGCGGCGTTAACGCCACTTCACAGAATAGTGTATGGAAAAGTACAACTAAAAATATACTAGAAGCACATGAACATACAAGGGCGGTCCTTAAAATATAAACATTTGAATTTTGTTTGGTGCACAAAATGATGACATCAACGAAGATTTCAAAAATTGTATGTATTGTTTAGGGGTCGCTTACTGTGTTTGAAAAAATTTATTTATTTTTTTTTTTTAATATCAACAACTAAATTTTGTAAAGGGCACCACATTTATACATTAACGAAGATTTCAAAAATTTTATAAAATGTTTAGGGGTCGCTAGCTATGTTTGAAAATTTTTTTTTTTTTATTATCAAAACCTAAATTTTGTATGGGGCATAAAATTAAGACATACACGCAAATTCCAAAAATTGTAAACAAAAATTAATAATTTTAAAAATTTTTTTAAATAACATCTAAATTTTGTATGAGGCCCATATTAAGACATCAACCAAGATTTAAAAAATTTAATACAATTTTTAGGGTCGCTAGCTAGCTTGAAAGAATTAAATTTTTTTATCGAAAAATTTCCATAAAACTTTTGACTTGAAATCTTATAAATTTAACATATTATTGAAACTTGTTCATATAAATTCATAAGCTCGCTGAGTTATGGCTGCGCAAAGTCAAATATTTTGTCGAATTTTTGCGATTTAAGAAAAAAATTTAACCTTATAGCGAACCCTAAAATTTTTTTAATTAATATTTTGTGGATATTTTAATATTTTACGTACTGCAAAATGGTAGTATTCCCCGTGGTGTTGATATTTTTAGCACCTCCCTAATACATACACATGTATGTATGAGTAAAAAATACAACAGCAAAAAGCAAAACCACCATAACTCACCTTATTCCACCCACATTGAGTATAATCCGATTTTCGCCATCCATGTTGCAAAACGTAATCTGGCAGCAGCAGCATGCGCGCCTTGAGCATACACGCCACAACTGACTAAGCGCCTAAATACGCAGCGCAACAGCAGGCACCACCGTTTAACACGCACGCACAATCGACTATGTAGCGGCTATGCTGTGGCACACACAACCAACATTAACGAAATTGTGCTTTTTTCATGTTACGTATACGCCACAGCGGCCACAATTTGAAGAATTCAAAAAGCACAAAAGTAGGCGGGGGAAAAACAAAAACATGAAATCTTTTCTTCTGCTTTGTGACACAAATATTTCCTGCACACTATTTTCACTTTTGTTGTTTCACATCACTTCACTTCACAACACTTGCTGACCACTTTAATGCTTTTCCGCTTTTAAAAGTTTCGATTTTTTTTTTGTACTTGCATATGTTTGCGCAATTTCTTTGGCGAAAAGTGCACGGCTTTGTTTCTGAATGCTTTCAGCTTTTGCACACTTTTTCGCATTGACTATTATTTGCGCTATAATTTCTCTTGCTTTTCGCTATGCTTTATGCGAACATTATTTTTTGCTTCCTTTTTTTGCAACTTCTTGCTGCACTTTCGAAATTATTTCATTCTTTGTTTAAAATTCACAACACGTTCTTGCACGCTCACTTGCACTTTTTATGCGTTATGCCATTGTGCTGCTTTTGAATGTAGTATGTAGGTATGTAGGTGTGTGTGTGGTTATACACTGTCGCAAAAAAGTATTGACACAGCGAATTTTTTACAATATTTACAAAAAATTTTGTTTCAATATTTTTACGCAAATTCTTTATAAAAATATGGTTCATTCTACAACAAAAAACTCGTAAAATTCAATAAATAATTTGCATGAAAATTTTCAACTTTTTAATCAGATTTTTTAGAATTTTTTTGTGTATGCAGATTTGTAGCCCAATAATTTTTATTATAATAAATTACAATTTTTGGCAATTTTTTTACGCAGTTTCTTTCGAAAATACTTTGTATTGGAAAAATGCAAAACAACTTCAAAAAAAATCAACGCGATTTTTGACTAACTCTGAATTTTTTTGCTAGATTTTAAGGGGCTGCAAAACTGCTTACTCAAGAAAATTCCAAAAAATCTGACTGAAAAGTTGAAAATTTGCATTAAAATTTACTGATTTTTCGCGAGTTTTGCACAAAGTTTAAAAAATGTGTAATGTTTTTATGTTTTTTTTTTTTGTTGTAGAATGAACAATTTTTTTATAGAAAATTAGCGGAANAAAATTACAAGTTGATTTTTGGCAATTGTTTTACGCAGTTTCTTTCGAAAATACTTTGTATTGGAAAAATGCAAAACAACTTCAACAAAAAAATTCTCAAAAATCAACGCGATTTTTGACTAACTCTGAATTTGAATTTTTTTTTTGCTAGATTTTAAGGGGCTGCAAAACTGCTTACTCAAGAAAATTCCAAAAAATCTGACTGAAAAGTTGAAAATTTGCATTAAAATTTATTGATTTTTCGCGAGTTTTGCACAAAGTTTAAAAAATGTGTAATGTTTTTATGTGTTTTTTTTTTGTTGTAGAATGAACAATTTTTTTATAGAAAATTAGCGGAAAAATATTAGAATAGAAATTGCTGCATATATTGTGAAAAATTCGCTCTGCCCATACTTTTCTCCGGCAGTGTATAATGACATATATGTACATATATGTATGTTTGTACGTGCAAATGCGTTTGCAGGAAAATAATTAAATTGCTCTACATACAATTCACACAGATGTGAGAAATGCCGACATTCGTTTGCCGGTATTTTTTCTTGACTTTTTTTTGTGTAATTTTTCTTAATATTTTTATTTTATTTTATTTTATTTTTTATTTTTTTTGTATTTCTTCTTTTATGTTNAAATATTAGAATAGAAATTGCTGCATATATTGTGAAAAATTCGCTCTGCCCATACTTAACTCCGGCAGTGTATAATGACATATATGTATATGTATGTTTGTACGTGCAAATGCGTTTGCAGGAAAATAATTAAATTGCTCTACATACAATTCACACAGATGTGAGAAATGCCGACATTCGTTTGCCGGTATTTTTTCTTGACTTTTTTTTGTGTAATTTTTCTTAATATTTTTATTTTATTTTATTTTATTTTTTATTTTTTTTGTATTTCTTCTTTTATGTTTTACTTTTTTTTCTTGTCCTCTCTTTAATTTCCCTTGTAATGCAATTGTTTTGCGCGCGTTTTCACGTAATTGCTTTGAGTGCCTACCGCGCCGACAACAATACGCTCCTGGCGCCTTTAGTGNGTATTTCTTCTTTTATGTTTTACTTTTTTTTTCTTGTCCTCTCTTTAATTTCCCTTGTAATGCAATTGTTTTGCGCGCGTTTTCACGTAATTACTTTGAGTGCCTACCGCGCCGACAACAATACGCTCCTGGCGCCTTTAGTGCCTCTACTTTGTTTTGTTTCCAGGCTGCTTATTGTAATATGCTACAGCTCGAGGTGACTGCTGTTCATATGTATGCAAGTACTACAAAGCTGGCCAGAAATGACGCTCTCAGCCGCGTCGTCGCGCAATTCATACTTAAGCAACTCGGCAGTCGGCATTCGAGGCGTTGCAATCAATTATGCGCGCAAATGTGTGACTTTGACGGCTTTCGTCTCGTTGCCCAAAGGCGTTGGCAGGCCACACTCACTGTACATTCACGCCACATAAATTATGGACACTGCACTTTTGTTGCTTGTGATCTTCAGACTAGCGCGTCGTAGCCTAGAGTCAAATGAATCTGTGAGTTTTGCATTATGCGCACGCAAGAGTCGAGTGTCGAGAGGTGCTCGTGTACATAATTGCTAGCACTGTTGCTGTTCTTGTGCTCTTGTTGCCTGCAAGCAAAAAAATAAAAATAAATGAATAAATTAGAGCAGAAGTAGAAAAAAAAACTGTATAGTAAGTGTGAAAGCGTAAAATAAATAGCCAAATTAAATTTGTAGTCATTAAGTTTTTCAAGTCAGCGACATGAAGTGCTGTGGTGTGTGCAAAAAGAGAGAGCGGACGGTAGTGGAATGAGGAACAAATGGAAAAACGAAGGAAAAGAATATGAATGGTTTGGAATCTAAAATAATTTAATAACAAACACTCAAAAGCTGTAATTTTTCTAGCACCAACAAGTGGAAAGGGAGTCTCGCAATTTGCTGGCGGTACTACATTATGCTAAGTGTTCGAAAATGACCTTCTTGTCTGTATATTCGAATATTAGGATGGTCCTTAAAATATCAGCATCTAAATTGTGTATAAGGCATCGTTTTTTTTTTTCTACGTGCAATATAAAGACATCGACGAAAATCTCAATATTTGAAGCGAGTTTTTAGGGGCCGCCAGGGTTTGAAAAAATTTTTATAAAAAAAAAATCACAAAAATTTTGCAAAATGTTTGCTTTGACCAGCAAGATAACTCGCTACGCTAAATTTTCGTCGCCAATATTCTCTAAAGGAAAATCAGTTGAGAAAAATAGCGAATGTTGGATGCCAAAAAGGGTATCATTATTTTTTACCAAAAAAAAAAAAAAATATTATTTAGTTCCTTCCCATTTTTCAATAGAATAAGAACCAATTTTTCTAAAACAGAGTTACAATGTCAAAATAAGTAAAGCCAAGTTAGGCGATAAAAAAGTAGTACACGCGAAGAATGTCACAAAAATATATAAAAATATTAAATTTTTTCAAAAGTACCACGGTTTGAGACAAGTTGGCAGGCCTGCTTACATAAAAAAAAAATTTTGTAAACACACGAAAGAATCGAAATACTCACGAAACTATGGGCCAAATATAGTAAAACTGCGTTTTTAATTTTTCACCCTCTGACGACAGGATTTTTTCAAAGGAATTTGAAGTTTTAAAGAAATTATTAACTCAAAAAATTATTAAAAAAAAAAACAGTGCGATTTAGAATAACAATATGGGTACCAAATGAGAGCGAAAATTCTGTAGAATTTAAAAACAATAAAGTTCTTTGCTTTACATGGGCGAATACATGGCGCTTTAATAAAATTTACCTTTTTAAGCTAATAAAGTTTGCAAGACGAAATAATTAAAAAAATAATAAAAAATATTGCAAATTTTCAAGGATATTTAAGCACAAAATTTGTAAAGGACATTTTCCATTCCCATTCGTCCTTATGCAATAAAACATGTATACTGCTATAATTCTAAAAAATTGTTTCTTTTATATGGTACCCTTATTGTTATCTTACATTGCACCGAATTTTTTAAATAATTGAAATAATCACATAATAAACTAAGTACATATTCATTTTTTGTGTGTAAAATTTACTGTCGCATGATTTTATAGCTGGTGAAGGGGAAAATAGTGTAGAAGAAAGTTAAGTTTTAGTTTTGTTCGAACCATGGTAGTAACCCTGTTTTTATTTTTTTTATTTTTTTTTTTTTGTAAACGCCGTTTTCACGAAAGCAATTTAAGGGGAAAATTATTTTTTTCCTGTCAAGTTCCATATTAAATTCAAATTAAAAAGAAATTATGGCTATACATTTCCGTTGATGATGATATGGTACGTCGAATAAAATAAATGGCTGCCCTATGATGTTTCTATTTTTAAGAACCACCCTAATGCATAGGCATCCCTTTTTGCAGGCGAATTACGAGTGGTGAGCGTAGGAGTGCACACAAACATATATATACATATAGTACATATAAGCTGTACATTAATTACATGCTGTTCATTTACAGAAAAGCTTAAAGTCGAGTGGAAGAAAGCAACTCCTTGGAAATCCAATAAAAAATTATGTTGGTTTCCGCTTTTTTATATTAGGTTATTTATTTACCTCAAAGAACAAATTTAGCACTTTTTAACCGACTTAAATTTTTAAGCTTACTATCTATTACCATAACTGTTTTATTTATGCTTATTGTTTTATATTTTACGGCTCTAACGAAAAACATTTCTGACGCTACTGAGTACGTGGACTGTGTTACAATGATATTGAAGGTGTGACTTGGGCGATAGTCTGAGGGCAAGACGACATTGCATTAATTCGCGACAGGCAGGGACCGGACAAACTTTAAATTGAGCATTTAGAATTTTTTATGAGCGTCAGAAGAGGGCTGCCACCTGTTGAAAAAATGCAAATCAATTATTTATGGATTTTGAAAAAATGGGTATCAATCGAAGTGGGTTTTAAAATAATTTATTTCTGAACTGTATTTAGCGGAGTTGCCATGTGCTTAAAATATTAAATTCAACTTAATTCATCAGTTAATTCAAATATGTCTAACAAACCAGACGATAAATAGATTTTAGTGTGAAAATACTTTTAAAAGGGTTGCCACCTTTGGTTGAAAAGTCGAATTTCTTTTACTTATACAAAACCTACATAAATGAAATATAGAAATATTAGTGTGAAACGAAAGAGTTTTCAGAAAACTGTAGGCTGATAATATGTTTAATTAGGGTTGCCACCCACTTTTTCTTGAAGGTCTTCGCATCTGCACACTAATTTCGAATTTACAAAATGAGAAGTCACATTAAAGAACAATGATTCTATAAGTTTTTATTTTTGGAAGGTAGAACCCTTTTTAGCGATACAGGGAGATTTGAAATTTGATGGAACAAAAAAAAAATTTCAATTCAATTTTGTCATTTTAACGCCATACGGGTTCACTAGTCTGCAGTTAATATGCCAATTAATTTTCCTTAGGGTGTCATACCTGCAAAAACTTTTTTCATTCGTCATTTGAGAAACGTTTTTTCTGTGCAAAAGCGGCGAGTAAAATAATAGTAATATTGCATACTTCTAGGTGCATTATGTACTAACTAGGCAGCTAGCTAAATGCGGCGGAGAGTGCTCAACTCGCTTAGATATCATTTGCCAGTGCGTCTGACTCCGCAGCGAATGTGGAAATATATTGTATGCTCTCTTGTACGGGTTATGTATGATCACATCAGTTTCACAGCATTCCCTGGAATTTGAAATGATTTGTCTTCATGTCAGAAGGTCACAAGACATTTACAAATGAATATTTATTTTATTCTCTCTGAATGCTAAGCAACATTTACAAAGCAGTTTTAAGTTACTGACACAATTTCTTTAGGCATCAGTTTGTTGGCAAACATATACCTAAATCTTTCTCGCCTCGATGTCATGATTTACTAAAAAAATTTACATGGACATGTGTCTCGCTTAGCTGCCACATAACCACATCTATAGAAGTGCATGAGTACTTTTTTTACTTGCCCATCAAGTAAGTAAGAACTCGTATTTTACAATGTGCATTTTGTTGGCAAACTTTTAGTTTTTTATGTATTTATCTGTATGAATGTATGAAAAGCTGCGCTGCAGTCACTTTAACTCTGTTGACCACAGTTACATCAACCAACATTCGTTTGTCTTATTTATCGACTTAACATTTGACAGAATTGCCAATATTGTTGACCGCACTGCCGTACGCTCTCATGCAAACTCTCTATCGGTATGCTTGCACTAGCCACGTCAAGTGTCATGTGGTTGAACAACAATAAAAACTACATAGTATGTATGTACATACATTGGTAAATGGCAATAAATGTAAGAAATTTAATTTCAAACGTAAATCACTCTCATGAAGCACTCAATCTTCTACTGATTGTCGTTGTTCAGTGTGTTTTATATTTTCTTTTATTTTGCGCTCGAAATTTATCTACTACTTGCCAACGAATGTGAAATACGACACATGTATGTAAGTATATAACCATGTGTGGGTGTATATACGTATGACGTATGTACATATCCACAATGAATGTTCACTTATGTGACGCATCTTGCAGAAAATGCAAATTTTTAT